TTTGAATGGATTTAATTTTAGTGGGATTTAATGAATCTTATAAATTTAGATTTATTAAATTTAAGACTAATAAATTTTGAAAAATATTTGATATAATAAATGTTAATTGATATCATCTATTGGTAGGTATAGCTTGTTCAATAATACAACATGAAATAAATATTAATTAGTTTCATAAGATGGTATGGACATGGTCCCAAAATTCAACATTTTTGAATGCTTACTCCTTGTAATTTTCCTTGAGATTATAAGTATAAGCTGCTTCCATTGTGTTCATTGGATGGAAGAATTAAAGCAATTAGCATATGGCATTTATATGATTCTGAAATGCATGAAATCTTATAAGGACAAACTTATCCACCTGACCATATGGTACAAAGCGCTAACCTCAATTTGGCATTCATTGTTACAAAGCCAAGTTTTTCTTAATTCATCCTATTCCATGGCCAATGAGAAGGATTAGAAATGGAGTTACAAGAAAAAAGCTAGACGAGATTTAGGCTTCATTTGGGACAGCTTTTATCTTGCTTCTTGAAGCAGATTTTTAGTATAAAAATTAAATCTTTTGCACTAAAAAGCTGCTTCAAGAAGCGGTAAAAAAGCCATCTCAAACAAAATCTTAATGCATACATTGTAAGACTAGAATGCAAATATATAACTTGAAATATTCAAAGAAATAAACAAGCTTCAAGACTTAACAAAATTATGTTGATGCTGCAACTTTAGGTCCATTATAAACTTAATAAGTACCTCTAGTATTTGGTCTACGATCTGCTTATATCAAGGATTAGTTATATATTATGATTTCTTATACTGTGATGGATCATTAGAAGCATTTTTTTTTTTCATGTTGCTCGGGTAATTGAGTGATTTTTAATATCTTCTATGGGGAAGGAAATCATACGGAGTTCGGACGTAGAGGAAGACATATATTCTTTTCTAGCCTGACCCGTTAACCCGGTTGACAATATGTGTTGTTTTGGTTAGAGGCCTTAGTTGCTCATGTTTGCAATATGTAGTTATCTTTCTTTATATTTTTTTTTTGCGGAAATTGAATTTATGGGTTCTCTTTTTTACTTGAATATTTCTTGTGATTCGTTGGTGTTTATTGTTAATTTTTTTATATTTTTCATGTGATAGGAATTAGTATGTCACAGAAAGATGTATTGTTAGGATCCAATAAAAAGAAAAAAATATTCTATTAAAGCCTATTTGGTATTCTATTTTATGAAGAATTTAATTAAAACAAAAAGAATTTTGTAGACTTTAAATTCTGTCGTTTTGATAAATCTTGTTTAACCCATTATTACTTAAATTTAAGTCTTGTTATATCCCCCATTCACATTGTTTTAACAGATTTAAAGATTTCTCCTCTCAGAAATCTTAAAACCCAAAACAAACAACCAAACAATTTATACAAATTATATTTCTATCATTCAAAACAATTTATACAAATTATATTTATATCATTCATGTGTCTTTATAAAATTTGAAAATTACAAATAAAACTTTTCAATATGAATAATTCACTTCTGGACTTTGGACTAAAATGACAACACAAACAAGGTATATTTTTTGTTTAAGTTAACTATTAACCTTTTAATTTTAAATATAATTTTTCTAATTATGATTTGTATCATATATATATAATATATATAGCGACATTTATAAGCGGCTGTGATCATTCCCCAAAAAAAATCCTAACAATCAAAGTTATAATACCAAAATAAATGTCCCACTTTGATGCTGGCACCTCTTCGTGTTCTTCTCTATTAAGGCCGCGTCCTTCTCTGATGGATTCACATATGTTGTGGTGGAGAAGAATTTTGAAAGAGTTGCAAAAAGAAACTTTTATTGCTTCTTCTACTACAAAGGATATGTTTTCTTCATTCACTCTTCTTTTACAACGCCGTTGGCTTTACTTTCTTTGCCACTAAAGAGGGTTATGAAAGTAGGCCGCTAAAAGAAGCTATTTTCTTTTCTAATAATGTTATTAGCAATTCACATGCTTCGCTTCATGAAAAAGAGTTTTAGAAGGAGTCGCTAAAAAGCTTCTTCACCTTCTTCTCGCTAGTGATTGAAAGTAAAGACTGCATGTCGCCACAAAGTAACAATTTTTCTTTCCTTGCAACCTTTTTGGCATATCATCACTATGTTTTTATTTTAATGAAAGTGCAGCTCACTTATCTTTTTACTAGTTTTTGCCTCTAAGAATTAAGTGTGAAATAAATATTATTTACTAATAATTCATCTTGGATGTTTGGTTAGTGTTATTGATAATAAATTAGATTGACAAGTAAATTAAAACATGAGCATATTTCTCTTTGTGATAATATAATAAAAATATTCAAAATTTGAATTTTTAATTACACGTGCATTAAGGTTAATGATTTGACATGCAATATTTTATTTTTAAAGAAACATATTTCACATCACCTTTATTAGTTCTTAATACATGATTTATGTGCTCTAGCTGTCAACATGAGGAGAAATCTTTCACAACATTTTTTTAATTAGTTGGCTTTGCTTTAAAGAAAACATATTTAACTTTTGAAACATCATTTATGAATAATTATTTTTCTCGACTTAAACTTGCTAGGCGACATAAATCTGTAACTTCTTGGAAAATTCTCTTAATGTAAAATGTCAAGCTCTTACTACTTAAAAGTAGCAACATATTTTATCTATTCTTCAAGCATCTCTTAATGTAAAATGTCAAGCTTATTGAGACAGCAATATACCAACAAACTATACGAGTTATTGTGACCTAGAGATAATGTATGAAGTTAAGGGTTGGTACTCA